AGGCAGAACAGGATGACCCGCCCCTCCGGCTGGGTCCCCACCCAGCCAGCATCCCCCCAACACACACACAGTGGCTACGGCATCCCCAGCCAGCAGGGCTGAAGGCGGGCAGTTCTCAGCAGGCTGACCCCGAATTCTGTCATGGAGGGCAGCTGGCTGGGGGAGGTGCCGGGCCTTAAACAGGAGGCCTTTGTCCAGGCCGAGGGCTCAGCCGCCACCCAGAACAACTGGAACCGGGGCGGCCTTCTCTGGGCTCCTCACCCCGTGGGCGTGGGGCGGGGACAGCCAGCTCCCGGACACCCGCTGACTCCCGCAGGACTCTGCCCGCCGAGGCCCAGCCCTGTCTGCGCTGTTCTGCGGCCTCCCCCAGGAAACTCGGCTCTCAGGAACGGTGGCTCAAGGGGGCTTCCTGGGGTGAGACCCGGTGCCCAGACAGAGTCGGCCCTGCCGGGACTGTGCCCAGTCAGGGTCCTCACTTAGGGGCGTAGGGGCTCCTACACAATCCCAGCCCTGCCCTCCAGCGGGAGCACAGCATGGGGAGAAGGTTCTGCCCCCCAGCCTGGAATGGCGTTGGAGGGGTGTTGGTGGGTGCTTTCCAGGCCAGTCCCTGGAGCTGGAATCCTTCAGACAGACCCACCCAAGCCCAAATCCAAGGGCCTCCAGACACACCCCTTCTCCAAACTGGAGGCAGAAGGTGGTGGTCAGAAACTCTGGCCTGGCCCCAGCAGCCTTACCCCAGGGGATGAGCACTCACCCGGGTCCCCCTGGGCACTGCCCAGGACTTACTTCCAGCTGACACCTGGCACCCTGGCACCCATGAGTTTCCAGGTGCACCATTCCTAAGCCCTGAGCCAGGCGGGAGGGGCAGGGCGGAGCCCTTTCCAGGAACCCCACACCCCAGCGACGAGTCCACTGAGCCCAGGGTGCTCAGGGTGAGCTGCAGCCAGGCCTCTGAGCCCAGGGGCGGGAGCAACTGGAGCCCCTTGACCGGGCCACCACTCCCCCAACTCCCTACTGGTGGTCAGTGGTACCGTCCTGTGTGACCCGCCCCCCACGCCTTCCCGTTGGTGCTACCGGTGCCGGGGTGGGCTGGGGGCTGCAGTTCCCCTGCTCCCACCCGTCCAGAGAGAGTTAAACCAGGGAAACCCAGGAGAACCTGGAAAGGGAACTCTGGCCCAGTGGCCCCAGTGGCCCAAGTGGCCCAAAGGAATTCGGCAGGGGTGGAGCTGTCCAGCCACGGGGGATCCGCAGGGGCTGGTAGAACGAGGGCACCTACCTGGGAGGCACCTGGAGGAGGGGCCCTGTCCTGGGAAAGGGCCGCCGGGTACGGTGGTTGGGGCTCCACCACCTGGGGGAGGGACCTCGGGGTCTGGGGGAGGGAGTGACCAAGGGCGCAGGAGCCAACCTGGGACCAGAGGGAGCTGCACCGCCCAGCCCGGTCCACGTGGTGGCGGGCGGGCCTCAAGCATCACGTGACCTGGCTTGGCCCTGGGACTCAGCCCACCCCTACTCTGGGCTCCAGCAACCGTGCCCTCTCCCTGCCAACTGCGCGGGACCCCTCCCCACACCCCACCCTGAGGTCTGGGCAGGGCGAAGGTCCGAGTGTCTGTGTCTATTCCAATCTCTGGGCAAAGTCCTCAATTTCTATGAGACTCAGTTTCTCCAAGTTTCAAATGGGGACAATAATTGCAAACCCACCCACTGCCCAGGGCGGTTATCAAAAGGACAGGGTGCTGCAAAGCCACACCCCCAGCGCCTGCAACAGCGGGTTGGGAAAGCCCTTCCTCTTGACCAACACTGCCCGGGGCAGGCTGGCAGACCCGGCTTATCTCCCCTCCCCGTGGGGGGGTGGCTTCTACTGAGAACCTGGCGACGTCAGGCACTTCCTGTGCGCTAGGTAAGGGGAGGGGCAAGACGGGAGAGACCGACATGTCCCCATTCCTGTTTCCTGTTACTCTTCACAAGCCAGGGACCTAAGCACTGACGTCCCCAGTTCACAGATGAAGAAACCGAGGCTGAGAGGTTCATTGGCCTCCAGGTGCCATCCACCTGGCCTGAATCTTGTCCACCTGGGGGCTCTGCCCAGAAGCCTGACTTTGAGGAAGCCTGGCAGGAGGCCAGAGGAGAGGCTCCCACAGATTTGAGAAAATGGGTGGGATCTGGACAGCAGAGGG